GTGACTGAATGATGAATGTGAAAATCTAACTTGAACTTCACCTTAACCAACCTGGTACTGGGTGGCCCTGCATTGTCTTGTTGAAACAAAGCCCGACCTCGATTGACCAAACAGGATACACTTCCTTTAATTTGTCGTACATGCGGTCTAGATGCTGACAATGCAGTTTAGCGTTGATAGCGCGACCATGTAGAACAAGCTCGAAATGCAGTACTCCTTGAAATTCCACCAGACAGACATCAAGATTTGTTGTTTTCTTTCCGCTTCCTCTCTCTCTTTCTCTCTCTCTCTCTCTCTCTTTCTCTCTCTCTCTCTTTATATATATATATATATATATATATATATATATATATATAGCGAGATAGATAGATAGATATTGCTGAAGCAAAACACGTGAAAAGGTTTAATGTATATGACCAGATCTACAAAAATGATATAGACTCACATAGCAGTTTTAGCTTGTAGTGTTTTGAAAACTTCCAAAACATGTTACAGTTTCACAACCGATAAGAAAATTTAGAAGTTAAAATAAAGTACATACAACCAAATGCGTGTATCATCACGACAAATAGCCGGGAACAATTATGATTTCACACAGATTGTCTATACGGTAAAAAATACTAAATAAAGAAAAGTCATAAAAATATTTCGTTTACGAACTAAAACTCCTTACAGCGAATAGCCTGTGTTAGCGAAAATATATCTCCGCCATATCTTCGGTACCGCTAATACGCAAGTTGGTCTCATTCAGCCCGGGGTTGAAATATGGCTTTACACAATGTCATACCGGATGTAATGTCTGCATTGAGCATGTGTGCATTTTTTGTAAATACACAATCGCGGACGCAGGTTTGAGCGTTTCCGGTTTTCACAGATTTTGCCAGAAAGATTTGGAGTTTGTATTTTTCGGTAAAATTTAATTTATCTTATATTTGCTTGTTTTATTGACTAGCTAATTCATTGAGAAAACATCTCACTGTAAACCCTGTACACGTTATGAATTTCACTGCTTATAATTATGCAAGTTACTGAGTATGAATCAATTAAATTAATGAAAAAAATCGAAAATTACACTTCTATAACTCATTCATAATCACCATAAAATCCGGTTTTAATTATCAAGTTAAAATAAAAATCTGAAATTAATTATAGGTTTCTAAAACGGTTTCTACTTATGTTCAAATATTTTCGACAGTTTAAAGAACTAAATTATGAAGAACTGGATGTTTTCTGTTGTAGACAGAATTCTTTTGACCACATCCCAGCATTTTGCAATGCTAGAATTAGAATTAATCGAAAGGGTAGTCATATGTAAAAAGGTTGCACAGAGCTAGATCGCAGCGAGAAAAAATCTACCAAATATTTATACGTATTATTATTCTGTACGTATATCATCTTATATACATCTTATTATACAATCTCCTGTCGTGAAATCTGTTTTATTTAATGTGAGTTGTTTCAATTGCGTAATAATAGCTTCTAGATTTCTGTGTCTTTCTCTACAGTGAATGCTATATAGTATTTTGGTATCATCTACTAATAGTTATAGTGGAAAGGATAAAAGATGAACAGGGTGATTAAATGAGAGCAGTTTCATTTTGGGGGCAAAAAAATTTACGACCCATTTCCTGCTCTAATTAAGCTCTGATTGTGGTTCCTTTTCAAGAGCAGCGGCCATGTTAACTTTGTCAACTGTGGATATGCTATTGAGAAAGGAGCATATGGTAGTGTCATCAGCATAAATGTCTACTTGGAAACTGATGACATCAGAGAGATTGTTGAAGATCAGAAACAACGTAGGACTGAGGATAGAGCCTTGGGGTGGGGGGCATCCGCGTTCGTATGAAAGGATCTGAAAGTGACCCCGTTCAAAACGACCTTCATTCCGCGATTTGATAGGAATGACTAGATTAAAATCAAACACGTCCAGTAATACCATAACCTTGGAATTTACGTAAAAGACCAGCGTGCCAACACTGTGAAACGCCTTTGAAATATCTAGAGCCACAGCTTGAGATTCGGCGTTAAATCAAGAGCTTCATATACATATTCAGGGATGGCCGTTAGCACATTATCGGTGGAACTGGCAAAAGGGAAGCCATATTGCTTGTCAGAGAGTATATCGTAAGATGTAAGAAGCTTATCCACGTCAGCATTGTTTAAAGCCTCGAATATTTTGCCGAATTGCGATAGGGCGTTAGTCAGATAGGCCAGAAGGTTCCCCAGTCTTCTTAAAAAAGGAGGAACACAAGGTGGAAATTCCAGCAAACAAGAAATCACAAAATGAGGCAATAATTGTAGAGTTTGGAGAAAACTGGATTCAGCTCATATGCACATTTCTTTAAAACGACAGGTGGGATCCTCTCACCTCCGCTTACCTTAGAGAGTCTAATTTAGAAATAATGTCTGAGACCTGTGATGGGGTTATGCATATCTCACTCAGTAAACCCTCTGTTTCAGGCGTGAGTATTCCAACTGAATCGAGTATATATATATATAT